GAGAACCAAGACAGTTATTCATGTCCTTGCGACTCGCCAGACTTCAGTGTTCCGGTGTTTTCATGGTTGTATCTACTGTAGATCTTGGCTTACAGGAGTTGCAACAGTTTCGGGAGATTGTGGCGGGCTTGTCCCATTAAGAAGCATGCAGAAAGAAATTGATGAATGTAAATGCATTGAAAAAGTACCCTAAAATCAAGCAATTATCAGGAAATACAGAGTTGTGATCTACTTAAAATAAATAGCATTTTTATGCATCGTACTGATGAGGAAACAACCTATATTAATAAATAATCGACTTCAACCTAAAGTCTTAAAATAAAAATTTGATTCTATATAGATTTGATCATAATTTTGAATCCTTCCACAGACTTAGAACAAAGATTGGACAACACATAACATAACATCATGCCTTTTGTCCCCGAAGAGGCAGCAATACATATTATACACTTTTCACTATTTATGTTATGAGTCCCATGTAATAGTGGGTGAGCCTATTGCCATAAATCGGGCACAATTCCAGACTCCGTGCTACTACTGAGGAATGACTTGATTGGCTTTTTACTATAACTCTCGTGAGACATACTAAATTAATAACCATGTTTTATTTTTATGGCATAAGCCGGTAAACGAGCAGACGGATAACCTGATGGTAAGCAATAGGCGCCGCCCATGGACACCTGGAACACCAGAGGTGTTATAAGTGCGTTACCGGCCTTTTGGGGATTAGGAGTTTGAGGATCGTTGGGGATTCAGGAATTGGGGAGATTGGGGAAGGGGAGGGTAATTGGGCCTCAGGTAACCTCACTCACACGACGGTTTTCTGTGAGGCCGTGGTATCACTCCAGTCGAGCCGGCCCATTCGTGCCGAAGCGTGGCTCTCCCACACTTTTCGGCTTACACACGTAATTATTTGACGAGGAACTCGACTAGTTTCAAGTCATGCTAGAGGCTTATATTCATGAACAGCATTCCGCGACCCGTGACGCGGCAACTGTCGCGATGCTACTCTACAGCAGCTGTAGCTGTAGGATTATATTTTGATTTTGTAATTTTGGCTGGCAGTGTGTAAGTCAGATAAGGGGTACCTAAGTAACTGTACTTTGTTATCACATTGCACATACCATACCGCGGGCATTGACCGACCTTATTGGTATTAATTTATAACTTCCTTGTCAGTCCACCAGTAACGCCACAAATAGCCATAATAATTTCACTTTCACTTGTCTTTTTTTATGGGATTAACCGGTAAACGAGCAGACGGGTCACCTGATGGTAAGCAGTCGGCGTCGCCCATGGACACCCGGAACACCAGAGGCGTCACCGGCTTTTTGGGATAAGGAGTTTGACGATTGTTGGGGTTTCAAGGATTGGGGAGATTGGGAAGGGAGGGAGTGAGGATAATCGGGCCTCCGGTAACCTCACTCACACGACTAAACACAACACAAGCTTTGTATCACGTCGGTTTTCTATGAGGCTGAGACCGCATCGAGCTGGCCCGTTTGTGCCGAAACATATCTCTTTATCTAATTTCTCTGTAATGTTATACTATTTCATTGAAATAAATAAATCTCGTTGCCATAAGGCACAATTTTTCTTTTATGACCAAAAACGGATAAATACTTTATGCGTTATCATTATTAATACCAAATAGGTTAATTGGAATTAAACAATACAGGAAAATTCTTACAAAGTGAATCATAAGATTGTTAAAATACAGGATATCACTGATAGGTACATATCACGATTTGTAGATAGGATAATTCGCCTAAAGCACGCGATTGAGTACCTAAGTAGTATTTTATAGCAACATAAAAACACGCCTATTATCCCCGAAGGGATAGGCAGAGGTGCACATTACGGCACTTAATGCCACTGTACAGCGTAATACCCACTTTTCACGATTTATGTTATGCGTACCATGTAATAGGGGGTGAGCCTATTGCCATATACCGGACACAATTACAGACTCCGTGCTACTACTGAGAATTTTATTATAATAATCCCATACTTTGCCCGACCCGGGAATCGTACCCGAGACCCCTTGCCCAGCAGTCACACTTACGACTACAAGGCCAGCGAAGCAATCTTTTCTTGATAGAGAATAAAAAATATGAGTCAAACAAACATAGGAAATACTTCGAAATTATTTGAAAAATGTAATCTTAGAGATAAATGGTATGAACATTAAGGTCTTAAAAATCTGTAACTATAATCGTAAGGACACAAAAAAAAGATTAATATACAGTTATATGAAATGATGCAGCAATTAAAGAACATAACATTAATACATAAACACCGACTTCAAAAAACCCAAAAACAGAAAAGAATCAGAACTTAAAAACTAAAAAGCAAAAATAACTATTTATTATTGATAGGTTACTCACCCTCTGATAGGTTAAAAGTCGGCGCTATAAGTTCTAAACAAAATTATTCATTAAAACCTTAATAGTAAAATCAAGCTGTTGATAATTTTGAGACCACGAAGTTTTGATATGAGACGATCTCCGGCCACCGCAAAGAACGGGCCTGCGGACGGCGAGTATTACTAGCTCGCCGCGCGACCATAACCAGACCCGAGCATACAGCGTGTCTCTTTCCGCGCGCGCCTCAAAGAACCTTCAGACCACCACAAATGGGGCCCAATAGAACTGATGTCGATACGGAGCCGCGGAGAACATAAAAGGTTACCGTGCCTCGAAGTGCAGGAGTAGAAACGGGGTGATCTTTAATCAGTAAGATTTTGACACGCTTCACCCAGGCCGGAGAAGTAATAGGCATGGCGACTATTTTTTAATTTTTTGTCCGTCTTTTAGATATTTTAAAAATCTTCGATACGTATTTTTTCTATTTTCTCGTATCCAAAAAAACATGTAGATATTTTGAGTTAAAATGACGCGTGCCGTCACAATTAGAATTAAATAAAATGAATGAAAAGGTACGATTTCTCCGTAAGTGTGACGTCAACACCCCCCACTCCCTAACTTTAATGCGGAATAACTACGTATTCTTCTGTTAATTTGATAAAACAAAAAATACGTGTCTGATATTTTCGTGCGATCTTAATGACGGACTAATTACTTTTTTGATTTTTTTACCCTGTCGACACGCCTATTCGATGATTTTCACCCTCAAAAAATGCTTCAACATGAATGAGCCGGCTCGACCAGAATTCGGCGTCACGGAAAAAACGCTTGCGATGTGTTTCGTCGTGTGGGTGGGAAATTACCTGCGGACAGTGATAGAGAACAGACATTGTTTTTAGTTTCATTTTCCTTTAAAATACTATTTAGGTAGTGTAATTCTACAAGAACTAATCTTATGTACATAAAGTTTCAATATAAACGTTCCAATAGATTAAAAACCGTGACTCATTGGACAATACGATTTTTTATCAAATAGGCACCTCTTTTATTATCATTGTTATCAAAATATACTAAGCTTCCTTACCTACAACTCATGAAATCATCACATAGAGTGCTTCCATTACATAAAACTAAGTAACAAAAAGGTTAAGTGTACTCAGATATTTTTTCTGATATCTCTCCAATCAGGTATCAGGCATTATGATGTCTTAAAAGCTTATAATTAAGTGTCATAAGACACACTAAATTAGTTATCGTGTTTTTGGCTCACTCGTGTAACTGGTTGACGCGAAATTTGATTAGTTTCAAACCACGCTAGGGGCTCATATTCATGAGCGTCATTGCGTATAACATACGAGGTAATTAATGTAAGTGAATAAGCCGTAAAAGTTGCCTGTATTGACGTTGTCCCTTATATCGCTTTTGTGTTGTGCAGTTTTGAGGCGGCGAATATGTCACCGGGTGGGTGCTATCAATTCTGCTAGCGATGTATCACGTGCCGCCGCAGCTGACCGACTGACGACTTCGGTTCAGGTTAGGAACCATGTAAGCACATCGCCCCCATAAGCGTGCTTACGCCGATATTATCGCTGCCAGCAAACCTGCTAAATACCAGGACAAGCAGAAAATAGGGGGAAAACAGACTCGTCGTGAACGTGAACAAAGATTTGAAACAAAGGGGTCGTGACAAAGACGGTTTCATCACGGTCGGGAAGCGAAAGAAGAGGAAACTCGCTTGTCAGAACCAGTTGAGGAGATCGTAGAGTACATCCGAGTGAAATTCATGAGGGTGGAGCGGTTGGAGTCTCGTCATAATGCAAACTTCAATTCCTTTATGTTGAGGGTGCTCACCGAACACCTGCCGATTCTTATGAAGGAAGAATTTTGAATGATGGAAAGGACTGGGGAAATCAAGTTGTGGAATTCCCCCGCCCACTCACTGAAATGTATTCGGTAGAAAACCGAAAGGCTTGCAGCCTTACGCCTGTCTTAGAGACTGAACTGAGCTGAGCTGAGCTTCCATAAGCGCATCATCGTTGATGAGCCTCTCGGCACGCCCTTCAATGTGTTTTAACGCGTCCAGCTGATATTTAGTCGAACCGTCCCAAAGATGAGAGCAGTACTCCATATAGAACCGAACCTGTGCTTGGTACAAGCTCATTTGTCATAAACATCAAATAAACTAGTGTCAAACTCGCGATCAAATACATCGTTTGATTTGATCAAAGTCATAGTCAAAATCAAAGTCAAAGTATTTATTTCAATTAAACTATAATTTGGTACTTTTGAAAAGTCAACAAATACAAAATAAATAATAGTCTATCAGTCAGTCCGTCAGTGAAGCTAGGTGAAGCTAGGTGCTCATTCCAAAATGTAGATAAGAATGGAGAAGAACGAGCAAGAAACTACATTCGTTACTCTTTTTAAACAAGTATGTTCTACAATGTCTCTGATACATATTCCAATACTGTACGTATATGTGAGAACAATTCAAAGGCACACAGTATCTACATACTAACAATACAGACTGTATTATAATACAAAAATTGTGTTCAAAATAAAATGCCAACTTACAAAATGAATATCATTTACTTCCAAACCTTACTTTATTAAAATTAAAATAAAATAAATTAAGTAGGTATTAATTATTTATTTATTATACTTCATTCACTCGATGTACAATAGGTGGACTTAATGCCGCAAGCATTTTCTCCCAGTCTGACTTTTATTAGTTACTTACAAGTACAGTGTATATACAATACTATTTTAAAACAATTACGCCAATTGACTGAAGCCGAAGTACATTAGAACTAAAACGACTAAGTGAAAAGCTGGTTCGCCGAATGCTCTCCCTGCTCCGCTGCGCTGGTACATGCGAACAGTTGACGAGATAGGTTGACTGACGTTTGATACAAATCTTACTTCCATGTTGTTCGTGCCTAATGTACTGTGGAATACAGATGCAGGTTGGACATGATTAGTTATGACTAATCTGTCTACCCTTACGTTATTTGGGCCTTGGTACGTCACGAAGGAATTCTTCACCCTGCCGATTGCTGCTGACGCGACAGCCACCACCCTGTAATAAAACTTTTGTTATTTCTACAGCATCTTTATAGTTTGTTCCGAGAAATTGCTAAACATTTAAGTGTCGCTTTGTCTAGGAATCTAACCTATCTATAGTTTATTTAATGAATAAAATATCATTTATATTCTAATCCACGCTCGCGATAAACTATACGAGTAATTTTAAAATTAAGCAATATACGAACTACCTACCGCTCAGGCAATGGTTCATACTCTTCTAGAACTAGTTTTATAGGACATTATGCTAATATTATAACTGTGAAAGTTTCTTTATTTGGATGTTTGAATGTTTTTCCGTCAATAACGCTAAAACTATTGAAGGGATTTGGATGAAATTTGATATTCAGGCACGGTATGGGCTGACTTAGGCGATAGAATATTTATCCTAAGTGTGGGAGAGCCATGCTTCGACACGAATGGGCCGGCTCGACCGAAATCATACTACGGCCTCACGGAAAACCGACGTGAAGCAACGCTTGCGTTGTGTTTCGTCGTGTGAGTGAGGTTACCGGAGGCCCAGTTACCCTCCCCTTCCCCAATCTCCCCAATCCCTGAATCTCCAACGATCATCAAACTCCTAATCCCCAAAAAGCCGGTGACGCACTTGTAACACCTCTGGTGTTCCAGGTGTCCATGGGCGACGCCGATTGCTTATTATCAGGTGATCCGTCTGCTCGTTTACCGGCTTATGCCATAAAAAAATCCCTGGTAAATGCTCCCATGAGATAAAACTTAAATACGCGGGCAAAGCCACGGATAAAAGCTAGTTTTAAATATTTCTTATAGCATTAATATATTAGAAGATACTCACTCGTATATCAATCTAAAATTTTGGTTTCTTGCATTAATTTCTGTGTTGGGCATTACATTCCCGTCGACAGTATCATCATAGACTACGCTGTAGCCCCCGGGCAACTCTGCAGAAGCTTCATAACAGGCTACAAGAGCTGACAGCACAGTGATGAGGATGAGACTCTTCATCTGCAAAAACCATTAGATATAGTAATCACCAATTTCAAATTTTTCGGGGCATCGGGTAATGATAGCATATTTCTAATATGAACCTTATCATTGTGTGATAAAATCAATAACTGGGTGTGACGTATGCGTTCGTTGACACTGAAAATATGAAACTAAAAAATATCATCAAATATTCCTAAATTCCTTTCATTCAATACTTATCATATTTTCATATACTTTTTTACAAATAATGAAAATATTTAAATTAACATTCTAAGTTGACAACAAAGGTGAATGCTAATGAGATTTATACAGAAATTAAAAGGTAATATTAAAAAAAAAAAACATTAACTCACTCTAATATATTTTCGTGTTTCCAAAAAATTGAAGTCAGTCCACGTTCCAATCAAATTACTGAAGGATACTGGGCATAATGGATCGATCACTACTTATATATCTATTACAGTCGAAATGATAAGATTACACTGTTGGTGGTTTTAATCTGTAACAAAATAGATACGAAACAATACCTATTTTTTAACCGACTTCAAAAAAAGGAGGAGGCACCGACTTCTAACCTATCAGTGGGTGTGTAAGCTATAATACTTAGTTATTTTATTCCTTTTTTTAGTTTTTACTTTTCGTTAGTCATTCGTTTTTGAAGTCGGTTTTTTTAAACGCAGTTTTTTATCGTAATTATCAGAAAGAGAATAAATAATGAGTAATGGGGAAAACAAAGCCAATGGTTCTAGGAAGACACTGTCTTCCTAGTACCACTGGCTTATATTTCCTTAAAAATGGACAAAGTACTAAAGTCAAACAAGGTAAGCATGGATTTCTCCTTACCTCGGCAACCAATGGAAGAAAGCCTAACGTACATAAGTACGATGCCGAAGATTAATTCAATTGAAGCATGCTAGATGTATGCGTACATCCAACTTACTTCATTCACATGGTGCATTCCACCATTAGTGCATCCCACCAAGATATTCCTGTGGAAGAAGATTGGGAGATAACCTGACAAGATCTTTTAGGCCATAATCAATCTAATCATATTGAGTTAACGTACATACTACATGAGAACATTGCAGCTGATCCAACATTTCTTAGAAGACTAGGTATTCTCGATTATATAGGACAATACTACAATATAATG